GATGCAAGGTTCCGATTGCACTTCAACAGCACTTACTAGTACCGTATTATTGGTAGTGTTGCCATAAAAAGTTGCTGGTAAAATTCCTACGAAGAAGTATCACTTAAGTTGTGCAAGCTCAAGGGTTGAAATTTCGAGTCGAGGTGCACTCGCGAAAGTGCTTTTCGAGTCGCTAGGATACAGAGGACTCGAAGAGGTTTTGCGATGTGCACCAGGACGTGCATACAATAGAAGAGCGATGGTCAGTTCCGAGATCGTCTTCGGTGCAGTTTGCGTCAAGCATCCTCGGATGTCGGAGAGAGGCCGCGTCCATGATAAGGGAACGCGTCCGAGAACTGACGCAACGCCCGTAGATCCTGCGGCACAATGGCGCAAGATAGTCGCTTCTACCAATAATTGGGTGTGAAGTGACGTTGACTCGACGTCCTGATGATATCGGGGTTACACCTCGAAGGCCTCTTCGTCTCCCTCTCTCCCTGCCTTGAAGAGCCGCAGCCTTGGGCGCGACTCTTCACCCGGACGAGCCTCTTCTCCCTGAACCCGCGCTGTGATTACGTCAAATTTCATTTTTCTTTCTTCTTCATCTCACTTTTTACGCTTATTCGTAAACATCCATGAAATACCTACATTGAATAGAATTGGAATTTTTCCACCGTGTTATTCCCCCCGATGAACATTTCTAAACATACCTAGACACGAACGGATAATAAACGCTTCATCGAAGGGTGATTTTTTTTTGTATACTTGAATCAGCTGACAAGTAATTACCATTAATATTCCGATTTTTTTCATTATTTAGGCTTCAAGTAATTTTTCGGAATTTTGCCCTTGTTAATCGAGAAAGTGCATCTCCGGGTAGGAGTGAATATGAGCGGAATAAATCGCATCCGCGGCACTAAAGTAGATTAATGTTTTTTTTTTTCTTACAATTAGCAAAATTGGAAAAGTAAATCTTGCAAATATTTCTTTAATTTTTTAATCGTCTACCCTCCGGGGAATTTTTCTAAATGCTGCACCTTCCCTTGCCTAGTCCTCGAGGTGCATCTCCGGGTAGGAGTGAACCTCAGCGGAGTGAATCGTGTCCGCGGTAACGAAACACAAGAGGAACGTTCGATCGCTGCGAGGACGATTTAATCTCGATCGACCTTCCAGTAATGGGTACGAAGGAACGAACGAGATTTATTGTGGTCTCTCGTAGGAGACGGTGTTTATTGCGCCGCTATAAAGAGGCATTAGGCGAACGCTAGAGCTCGGATGCGTAAATCACCTCGCATTCGACTGGGAATCGCGTAAACCGGCGCGCGTTCCGCTCCGGCTGCTTTCGCCGGGCGATTCGCGTAATGCGATTCGCGAGCGAGCGAAAACGGGCCGGGGATTTTTTCGGATCGCGAACGCCATGTCGGGACGTCATCGGTGACACCTGTTGGGCCCTGAGACGTCGTGCCCGTGGTGTTCCAGATCGGTATCGACGCTATTTACATTCCTGCTCCATATCGAGGGAAATGATCTTCCACTTGTTCCAGAGCCGCCGCTCGATACTCATTCTCCGGCCTCGCACCGCTCCGATCGGCTCCGAACCGCTTCGGACGACTTGGAACTAATACGAGGGGGCCGCGAGGAATAGCAAGTGCCACGCGTAGGGAAATAATTCCAAATCACGTTATAAACATAAAAGGTTATTCTGAAACAAACTGAATGCCATTGGATAAAGCAGTAAGGATAAAATGTTCCTTTGGGGTAGTTGGAATTTTATTCGTTTATTTTTATTTTTTTCTAAAGGGAGATTCCCTATGAACCGCTTCGGATGATTTGGAACTAATACGAGGGGATTACAAGGAATAGCAAGTGCCACGCGTATGAAAATAATTCCAAGATGTAATAAAAGCATACAAAGTTATTCTAAAATAGACTGTGCTCCTTAGTCATTGAATAGAGCAATAAGGATAAAATGTTCCTTTGGAGTAGATACAAATTTATTCCCTACTTTTTTTTTTTTTTTTTTTTTCTAAAGGGAGACTTCCTGCGGTTACATTGATGTTCGATGCATTTGCTACTATTTCTGGACTCGGTATAATTATTACCACGGCAAGAGCTAGACTTTATCGGCAATGGTACATGGTAGAAGAGTGCAAGTGTCGTTTTTCACGTGGAGCCGCAGTCCGGACTGGTTTCTCCGTTTTATTGATAGGGCTCACCTTCGAGCCCGCTCTGAAAAATCGATCGCGGGACGCGCGATAAATCCTAGATGAAATTTCATTACTTTATGGCCTTCATTTGTTGCATGCCCCACGGTATCCTCTGATGGATGCTGCGCCGCTTCGCGGTCTGCGCGGTTTGATTGAAAATTGCGGGATAAATCACGCCTGACGGAGGGACTCGTTAGAAACCTCCCGTAAACTCGAGGAAGACCTAAACGTTCTTTAGGACTTCATTCCACCGTTGAAGGAACATATAAAAGCGGTATTAATATGGAAATAATTTTTATAGAGACAATAATATAATACAGAATGGTTTCGAACTGTACAACATGAATATGGAGACTATAAGGAAAGTCCCGACGCTCGTGAAATTTAATTGTTTTGTAAGAAATTTTGAAAAGACCATAAACAAAATTTTACGGGCATCGGGACCTTCCTTGTAGCCTCCATATTCAGGTTGTAAAATTTCGAGCGATAAAAGTTTCACAAACGAGACCTCTTTGACGCCACTTTCGTATCACCTTAAAGGAGGGTTAAAATATCGAATCGGGAGGCGAGAATAGAATAATCGGCACCCCGAGAAAGTGTTGATATACGAGGTGCTCTTTGAAATTACAGTTTTGCCCGCGCCTGGCGATTACATAATTATGATTAGCGCTTTCTTGCACGCATGTAACGTCCGAAGCTCGCGCCGCGGCGGAAGGAGGGAAAGAAGCCGCGAATGAAGTCATTAGACCGTCATTACCGTTTATTCAATTAATAAGAGCCTCAAGGGCTTATCATCGAATCCCGGATAATGTGCGCGATTGTTGCGCCAGGCTCGGACAAACGTTAATTCATCTTCCTGGCAAATCGCCGGACGCCATCTTAATTAGGAATAGACGAAACGGCGTCGCTCGAAAATTCAGCTGCAGGCCTCGCCGTATCATAATGAGATGCGGACCGATGACAAGATAAGTGGAAGGAATTGCCTCGGTATGCTGTAACCATTTGTTCGGCCACCAATTATCCCCGGAGCCCGAAGGAGAAATCTCGAGAGACATTTTAGCCGGGCTCGTCATTTAGCCGGGACGTGAGGACGTTTAATGGAATCTGTCGTTGCGCAATCGCGAATCCCGTAATGCACACGGAACACGGTAATCCGAGGTGCAACGCGCTCTTTAGCGCATTACCTAGAACACGGTACATTAAACCGCCTAACTATCGGTGCGTCCTTCGAGGAAGCACTTCTGAGCGAATTTCTCGGCTTTACTGCCGACGTCCGCCGATCGCCAGAGTGCATCTGGAGCGATGCAGCGAGTGCATTTGAATATGAGTTTCATTATTTTCTTTTTTTTTTTTTAATGTCATAATTTTTGTTAAAAGGCCGATCGCCAGAGTGCATCTGGAGCGATGCAGCGAGTGCATTTGAATATGAGTTTCATTACTTTCTTTTTTTTTTAATGTCATAATTTTGATTAAAAAGCCAATCGCCAGAGTGCATCTGAAACGATGCAACGAATGCATCCATCGTGTCGGTCGAATTGCATTTTATTCTTTTTATAGAAAACGCGACATTTTCGGTTAATGATCACTTCTGAGCGAATTTCTCTGCTCTATCATCGAGGTTCTGTAGATCATGCGATGCACTTTCCATGCAACGAGTGCATTTATGGAGGCGCTCTCATCTGGCCTTCTATTTTCAGACGGGACGCGAGAATTTTGGCTAAATAAGGATAATTGCTCGAGTGATCGAGGCGGATTATAATTGTAGGTTGATTTGCAAGTTAAAAATGAAGGCGACTGGGTATGCCCCGGTTTATGCGATCTCGGTGTCCCTTAGGGGAAGCTGCGAGTCGTACTCGCGGTAAGCGCCTAAGAAGGCAACGGTAACTACGCATAAAACACACTGCCCCGGGAGTGCAATGCCGGTTTTTACGGCGAGTCTGAATCCGGTGTTTAGGATCGACATTGCTCTATATTTTATGGCGTCTCTGGAACTGTCACTTTTTGCTGGTATAGTTACCGCGCAATGGTGGCGCGTAAGAACTCCCGATGTCGGCATTGTAAAACCCAGTAGGTCTCACCAGTCGCAGCCATGGTGGTCTCGTCGAATCGGGTTTTCGAGAAGGCCGGTTCGTCGGCATATAATTGGAGGCTGGAGACATAAACAGAAAATCCCCGAGACCCCATAAGACATCTTCCTCACACTTACCCCTTGCCTTATAACGCCTCGAGTACCTCGTGAAACACACCTCCGCGTCGAAAAATTCGAAATTCAGAAAATTCAGGAAATCAACCCTTGTGCATTCCCCAATTTTCACATCATCCCTGCCATGGGATTCCCTAGAACCCACGGTGATAAAATGTCAAAATAGTAGTACTGCCGCAAATTTATTTACGCGATTAATATTTAGGTATTTAAACACATGAAAAAGTAGGATCCATGGGATCAATCGTTCATGATACTTCTCTCTGAATAAGATGTATCGAATCCTTTCAAACTTTACAACGTGAATGTGGAGGATATAAGGAGCGTCCTGCCGCTCATGGAATTTCATTCTTTATAAAAGGAGAATATTTGAAATGCCTATAAACAAATTTCGAAGGAATTGAAATTTTATTTCACCTTCCTCATAGCATCCATGTTCAGGTTGTAAAGTTTGAAACAATTCGGTACACCTAATTCGGAGGAAAGTCTCATAAACGAGACCTCTTTGACGCCACTTACATGTTCTCTTAAGACGTGGACATAATCTGGTTTTTCTTGGTGTTTAAAAATGTCCGGTGACTAAATGTTGGACTTTTTTTTTTCTGTTTCAGGCGAAAAACCGTACCAGTGCACGTGGGAGGGATGCACGTGGAAATTCGCCCGATCGGACGAGCTGACGCGGCATTATCGCAAGCACACGGGGCAAAAGCCGTTCAAGTGCCATCTCTGCCAGAGATCCTTTTCGCGAAGCGATCACCTGTCTCTCCACATGAAACGGCACTGACGAGCCAGCTCGAAAGCCCGCAGAGATCCTAGACGAGATGACGATTACACTCGGGACCTGAAGAACCCCGCCTCGGCAGAACGAAGCCGGCCATCTTGGAGGCGCTTCGAATCGGACGAGGAGGGGAAATAGGAAAAAAAAACACGTTCACTAGATTTAGAGTTTAACGAAAAAGCGCGTATCATTCGACCATAGAGGATCCGTCAATGCTGTGTTCGCATCGAGAGGTGCACGCGAGATCGAGTTGCGAGACGAGAGCTCCGTGGATGACGAATTTATATCCTTGCTAAATCATTTCCTCCTGTATCTGTTTATTTTCCCAGGACATGGGGAAGTCCATCCTGCCTTAATCTACTCGAAAATCCGGGAAAATGATGTCCTGTCCTTATTTAAAAAAAAAAATGAAACAACGATGCACAAGCCATGCAGCAATCTGCAGCATCGACGACGCGACGGCATTTTTTCCTTTTTTGAGCGCATCGGCGATTTAGAAAATTAAAACAAGAGGAACTACCTTTTTGGGGACTTTCTTATCGGAATAAGAAGTCGAAAACGGAGCTCTGGAATTTTCAGCGGCCGGTGGGAAATGTTAAGGGGATGTGAATGCGACGTTAGGAGACGTTTATGAAGCTTTTCTCCGAACTGGGTTTACCGAATCGTTTGAAAATTTACAATGTGAATATCGAGGCTATAAGGGAGGTCCTAACACCCGTGAAATTTCAATTTTTTGAAAATTTGTTTATAGATATTTTTAATGCTGTTTATAAAAAAAAAAAAACTTCATAGGTGTTAAGACCTTCCTTATAGTTTTAATATCTATGTTGTAAAGTTTGAAACGATTCGGTACGCCCAGTTGGGGAAAAAGTTTCGTGAAGAAGATTAACTCTTAAAATGCCACTTTCACACCCCCTTGAAGGGAAAATCGAATTTTTTGGGCAGTTGGAAATGGATCAGCGGGTTTTTCTCCACTGCCCGGTATAGAGAAATGATTAATTTTCATGTGATATAACGAGAGGTCGAGGTGTCTCTTCGTCGGCGAATTCTTTTTCGAAATTTCGTTCACTCGTGACCGCCCAAGGCTGATTACTTTATCCGAGCTGGTGCACGGATTTCGAAACGAGGGATCGAAAGGATCGTTCTGGTTTCCCAGCGATCCCAGATACACTTTCGAAAGCGGTTCTCGATCATTTCCTTCCTATATTTATGAGACAGCATTGACGCGATACGATAATTCGATAACAATGCATTTTTCGAGCCAGGAGTTCCATGGGAACGAAGCGAAAAAAAGAACGAACGAGTGCTCGACAGAATATTCCACGAAAGTCGAAATTTCGGTCTCGATCGCGTCATTGGTACACTGATAAAAAAAATTCCATTGAACCAAAGAGACATTTTGATTATTCAAACAATAATGATTTGACTCGAAGTACCTCGAATATATTCTACGCGACATTTCTTCAGAACGATAACAATTTATTAGAGTGTATTCGAGTCAAGAAATTGTTCTTTAAATTTAAGCAATATATTTCTTCGGTTAAATGGAATTCTTTTCTCTCGGTGTAGGGATTTCGGGAATCCTAGTTTTCCAAAAACACGAGAAAGGTTTTCGTCGACTCCGAGTTTAAAGTTGAAAAATTGCAACTGGGTAGCAGCCAGAGACCGCTGCAGGTTCAGCTAATTTTCGAGGAAAGACGTTATTCCAATTGTTAGGAAATTATTTCTTCGAATTCCGTAGACGCGAACGCGTTCAAATATGGCGGCTCAATTAGTCTAGAGCATCTTTATTATCTGGTATAATAAACGGAGCCGGTAAGAAGCATTATTTTAAGATAAAAATGAATAACGAGGGAAATGTCGGACTCCTTTAACGGAGCTTGGGGCTTAGCACGCTCAGTTAAACGAATACAATCATGGTCTTAAAAGACACTAAAGGGTTATTAGAGATTACTCGAGATGCACAAAGAATTTTGCGTTTAGGGAAGGACAATCACGAACGATCAGATCGTTAGAGGGGATATATCGAGATCCAGTATTACGAGCGCATTAAAACTATCTCAAGTCTGAAAAGCACCGTATGACTTTTCGGAAGTACGTACCGTATAACCGCCGCACTTATTTCCTGATTTCGTGATCGAGGTCGATCGGAAAACAAGCAATATACGCTCAGATAACGATAACGTCGGTTTGCATACGGTATACCTTGTTCTACCCTGAGAAAAAGAAAAATTTACGGAACCAATGAAACATATCTTTGAACGGCACCAAGGACAAGATATTGATAATTCTCCGACTAATTATTTGGCTCGAATGAACTGAAATAAATTACAACAATTCCGCCGAAGCATCGCGCTTAATTTAATTCAGTTTCTTCCGGTGAAATAAATATTCCTCGAATTAACGAAACATTTCTTCGGTTCACTTCAAGGAACTATTTCCCTGGTTGACTGAAATTTCCTTTCTCGGGGTACGCTACGATCGTGCTACTAATTGTATGAAGGTGCCAAAGTAGAAGAAATGCACTAGCTAAGCAATGTCTCCACTCGCCACGTATAGAACATAACGCTTAAGGCATGCTGCACTTTGAAAAGAGACCCCCTTAATCACACTTACAAAAAAAAAAGAGGGGAAATAATTCGCGCCTGCTTCGCAACGACCACACGATGGAACGCAATTAATCACGTAGAAATTCGTAACGCTGTAGCAAGGTAGTGGCCAAGCTAACCTTTTTGAAAATCCTATTCTGGGCCTTTTTCTAACAGATCGACATGCAACTGTGCATTGGGCGTATCGATCGTGCACTTCGACATGCCCGAGATCCGATGATCGATGGATCTCGATATCGGTACATGCCAGAGCCAGTTAATCTCGAACTCGTATGCAATAAGTTTGCAATACGGTCGGTGAAAAGTGACGTCATTACGCGGTGTATTTTAATAGGAAATAGTGCCTTCTAAGGTTAAAGAGGTGAACGTTGTTTTAGGCCTTAAGCCTGTCGTTAGTGCCTTAAGTCACGCGAATCCTCGTGCTTGTACGCTTCTCCTGACTTGGCGAATCTGGAATTAATGTCTGTTAATATTTTAAGTAACCCCCGAATGGATGAGAAACTCGTCCCAATCTAGGAACGCATTGCAAGACTCGGGAAATAATTCATAATTATTATTTATCATCTTCATTGCATATGATTAGAAATCCATTCACAGGAGACTCGGGTTTTTCGGTTCTTTCTGGCGTTTCCTAATTTTCTTCAAATGTATAATAATAATAATAATAATAATTTGGATTTATTTTACGTGAATTTAAATCCAATAAAAAGTGAGACTTGGGTTGAACTGCCTTACGCAGCCTAATTCATACTAGTTATCGAATCGACAAATGATCGTGAAAATTTATCGCCGTTAATGGTGAATTTTGTGCGTCGATTTTTAGAGTGTATTGAAGTTTTTCCCATCGATTTTTAGAGTCTCTTGATTTTTGAGACCAGATTAGGGCGCGTGAATGATCCCGGCGTTCTCGCTATTGTGAAATTCTATCCGAAAACGGAGGACTTGCCACCCTAAAGAGCCGTTTACGTTCTCGATGACTGATACCGTTGTTGTTTCCTTGTAGGGAGTCTCTTCAGCTCTGTGCTGTCGGTAATACGAGAGCAGCGAGGGCGTTGAGAAATGCTGCCCGACGTTACGCCGACACCATCTTTGACCATAATCATTTTTTAAAGCCTCCACCAGACCCTGCGCCCCCGACAACGACGTCTGCACTAAATTTCCAGCTCTTAAGGTGATATGAAACTTTTCGCCAAACAGAGCACACTGAATCGTTTCAACCTTCACGAACGTTAATGCGAAAGCTACAAAGAAAATCCCAAGCCCCATGAAATTCCAATTTTTTTCTAAATTTATTTACAGCTTTTTTAAAATTTCTCCTAAAAAAATTAAATTTCGTGGGGGGAGGAACCTTCCTTAGAGTCTCCATATTCGCGTGGTAAAGCTTGAAACGATTCGGTACACCTGGTTCGGAGAAAAGTTTCACAAACGATGGACCCTTCGGATGCTACTTTCATACCCCCTTAACGAAATTGACAAGCATCGACGGTTAACCTTAACAACGGCGTAAAGCTGCGACGCAACGTTTCTCGCCCCCTCGCCGAAATTTCCTACCAGCTTAAATGAAGTGAAATGAAATTAAATCGGAGCGAAGTATGATTATCTCGTTAGTACTTAACGACGAGCCGTTCTCTCTTCGGCTTTGTCGAGAAGCCGCAATATCGCGCGAAGGCGTGAGATAAATCGTTCCGTTTAGTCGTAATTATTGTTGGAGATAAATTATTTATGCGTACCGAGGAGGTGTGAGATTTATACGAGTTTTAAATTACGCAAGGTCGGGTTGGTTCGCAATCGCGGTTGCTTTTGTTACGTCGAGAAGTACTGTATGTATCGTTAACGTTGATCGTGCGTTAGAACAGCTTGGTTGACTTCGGTCCGCCTCGTATGGGTTAAGCGAAATTGATTTATTTATTATAATCACGCGAGTAGTTAGACTCTAAGTGTACACTTTCGTTACGGTACAAACGCTTGTTGAGGAACTTGGAGAGAAAATGTATTTTAACCTAGGTTAAGTGTCTTCGACAGGTGCTCGCGTGCTTGTAGTTGCGGGAAACACGTTCCAGCTATTCCGTATTTTCTTCCTTAGCAGATCTGATGCTCGCCCCCTCTATTTTAACAAGTTTTCTCACCTTGACTGTGATTCCGGGATAAGGTTTCTCTCTCTACCCCCGATAAACACAAAGTAGTGGAACACACCTTGAGAAACGGTGTTAAACCGTTGACAATAATCGTGTAAACCATATTGCAAAAAAAAAACACTTCTATCCTTTCCACGACAAATTCAATGTCGATATAACGTCTATTCTACGTTTATTCAACTATCGTTTTGGTCGAGTATCATGAACGTCTTTTAAACGTTGCCTGACGTAAAATAATTGTTCATAACCGTATACTATACGTTGAAATAACGTTAAATCGTTCAAGTACACCATTCGTCCCGACAAGGAATAAATGCTCCAAATACTTAACGCATAAAATCAGCGTATCTTGTAAATGTATATTCAAGGTGAAAAAATAACGTTTCATATACTTACGTATATAAAACGTGAAATCCACTACTTTGTGTCCATCGGATCGCTTGGCTACGGTTTCAAAGTATCCTCTCGAAGTTCAAGGCTGAATAACATTCCAAATATTTGTACCTACGTTTAACGGGAGTCTTAGGAGGACTCGTAAAATTGAACGATTCCACGCTTGTTTCTTATGATAATGCGCTCTATTCAATTCCCGTGCACGGCCCATGAATGGCCGCCAAGTGGGCAAAGGAGTTCTTTAAATGAATGCGAACAATTTTCTTTGGAGGTCCCGCCTGGGAATATTAGCATTTTAAGTGCCTTAAGAGACGTTTACTGACAACCAACTAATCGAGGTTACGCAGTCAATTCGAAAAACTGCAGCAATCAAACGGCGAACTTTGCAGTCGAGCGTTATGATAACCCTTAAGGTGTTACGAAAGGGTTAATTCAGTACGTATGAAAACGTCCAAATATTTATACTTTTCTCCAACCTGGATGCACCGAATCATTTGAAACTTCAGCACGTGATTAA